GGTCCTGTGTGGGAAATGCAAGTGGAGGAGGAATTTATTCTGGGCTCTGAAGCCCTAGTGGTCTTTGTGTGGAAGGAAAATCAAAATGGAAGAAAAAAAAATGCAATGAAGAGGGAATCCGAGTGGGTGCTAGCATTGCCACAATGACCTAAATTTATCGAGATCAAGTTACTCGTTCACAGCCATTTAGAAACCAGGATTGAAGCATGATTACTTTTGTCATATGTCTGCAACCAATTAAAAGCATGAGGTTCTAAGTGTGAATAATCTCAGTCTTACACATCAACACGACTAGCTCCTAAGGGAATTTCACAAGTTGACAAAAAGCATTAAGTTTGATAACAAGCATGGGAAAGGTCATAGGGAAAAGACGCTGTCAGACACTGGTGGGAATATAAGCAAGTTCAGCTACTTTGGAGGGTAATTTGGCTGACCTATTAAAACAAAGTGTAGGGGGTGGCAGGTGGCATGGTGGTTAAAGGCACTGGATTCCCACACAGTCAACTGTGGTTCAAGTCCTGAACCTGGCTTTCTCATTTTCCCTCTCTCTCTTTCTCTGGTCAAATCAAATCAAATAATAGTAATAACACTAATAATTAATAAAGAAGTTGAATAAAATAATTCTTTAGAAAAAAGTGTACATATCTGAGGACCAGCTACTTCTATATTTAAGAATCAACTCTAAGTCCTTTTCTCCAAATGATTTTGACCATGACTCATATTATGAGATATGTTTCCCCTCATAACCCAGTGTATATATCCATATAGAAATACAGCAAAAATCATGTGACTCAACACTCACCTTACTCTGTGCAGTGAACTTGGATGCCTTATTGTTTATTCTATCAAGTTGTTGGAAAAGTAATGACACGTTTTTCCAGAGAAAAATATAGAAGAGATACTTCATGACTTTTCCCACAACCCAATATTTCTAGTTTTTACAATTTTAGTTGCAATCCTTTTTTTTTTTTTTTTTTTTTTGAGAGGTTTTCACTATAGGGCACATGCACTTGCCAGAAAGACAGAGACAGAGAAAAAGGAAGTGAGAAATCACCCCCCAGGGGAGATGGCCACACCGCAGTCCCTTCTCCTCCATTCTCCTCTTGGGATCTTGGGCATGCACGCAGAAGTGCCCAGCGTGAATTTAAGCCACCGGGTCTGGGACTCGAACCGGTTGACTACATGGGAGTTCAGCGACATAGCCATTACACTAACTGCTGGTCCCATTGGTTGCAATCCTTTAAATTGATTTTTTGGCCCACTAATGTACTTTAATCCTTAATTTGCAAAATCTCTGCATGTAGAAAACAGACTTAACGTGTTTGCGTAAAGGAGCAAGCTTGTTTCTTACAGCATTATTTATCATAGTGAAACACTAGAAACCTGAATAGCCATCAATAGGGAAATGGTAAAGTCAATGTGGGGAATTTACACAATGCAATAGCCAACTAGCAGCAATAAATTCAATCCATAGGTATCAATATAACTGGATTTAAAAAAAAAACTTGGAAGGTGAAAAAAATTGATCCATAGTACAGATAATATAATACTATTTACGTTAAATCTCTCTAATACTAACGTGTGTGTGCACAAAATATTGCTAGGACCAACCGATGTGGAAGAGATTAAGAAAGAAAAAGGGGGAGAAGATTGGAGTAGCCAGAAGGTGTTATAGTTTTAACTGCCATGTTTTACTTTATTAAGAGGAAAAGCATTGAGACCAGCAGTTAGCGTAATGGCTATGTCTCTGGACTTCTATGTAGTCGGCCGTGGTTTGAGTCCGAGGCCTGGTGGCTTAAACTCACGCCGGGCGCGTGTGCATGTATGCCCAAGATCCCAAGAGGAGAATGGAGGAGAAGGGATTGCAGCGTGGCCCTGCCCCCTGGAGGGTGATTTCTCGTTTTCTATCTCTCTGTCTTTCTGGTGAGTGCATGCACCCTATAGCAAAAACCTCTCCAAAAAAAAAGAGGAAAAGTATTTATGCATTGCTTATATAACTAAAAATGAATAACAGTAAGTAATGTTTAAAAGATGACATGTATATAGGAACGCACCATGTTTTCAAGAATTCTTGAAGGCATAAATACGTGAAAGAAGGCAAAGTTTCATGTAGGAGTCCTTGAATGCAAGATAGAGTGTATGGAAGAAATTATGAATGAGCATAAGCATTCATAAATACATTTATGTATTTAAAAATCCAATAAATGTTCCCATAAGCAAACTCGTAAATATAACAGCATGTGCTGCAAGTAAGAAGACAGTGATGTTATATATGAATTTGGTAACTTATGAATGGGCGAGTAGATATATAGAGGAATGGAGCAATTCTAAATTCTTGTTGACTATTTTAATGCACAGATAGATAAAGTCATGAATTAATGTTAGTATGCCTAATGACCAAAAAAAGCAGGGAGTGGAAGGAACAGAAAATAAACAGGGCATATATTAGGTTGCTGAGAAAGTCATGATGCATTTTTACATAGAAAAATACGTCATGAGCTTTCCCATGCCTGTGTTTGGGACTAGCAGAGTCTCTGGGAGGATGGCTGAGAGGACAGTGGCAAGGCCAGCATGGCCCCAAGATTCATGCCCTGAAAAGGTGTCAGCGTGCCATTTATGTCACCACGGCCTACGTTTCTAAGTCACTGCTTACATTTTCAACTGGTCATAACCTGGACTGTCTTTAAGAAAGACTAGAGTCAAAGTCAGACATCTACATAAATAATAAACGAAACCACCGTGTTGCATGTCCTGTTCCCAGGAAAGCCAAAGAACCTGGAAGATACAGTCTATTCCTTCCCATGACAACCAGAGTTCAAAGGCCAAGGGGTAATGACTGAGCAAGTGTCCTGCTTTATTTCTTAAATACAGTACTTACATAAATCAGTAAAGAAATCAAAATCATTTTTAACTAGGAAGCTGATTTTCCTCAGTTAAAGAATAACCATTGACTCAGTTCATGCTTCAATTTCCTTTTCCCATTATGAAGGATGGTAAGTAAAAAAAGTCTTTTTCTTGTGATGGTTATAAATGTGCTTAACACATTAGGAATATATTTAATACCACTGAACTGTACACTTAAAAATGATTAAGATGGTCAATTTTATGTTTTGGTTTTTTGTTGTTTGTTTTTTTTTTAAAGAGAGAGATTTTTGCTATAGAGTGCATGTGCTTGCTGGAGAGACAGAGACAGAAAATGAGCATCCCCCAGGGATGAGGGCCACACCGCAATCCCTTCCCTGACATGAGTTTTAAACCACTGAGTTCAGGACTTGAATCACGGTTGACCACATGGGAGTCCAGTGACGTAACCATTATGCCATCTGCTGGTCTCTGTAGTTTGTTTGCTTGTTTGTTTTTTTTTGTTGTTGTTGTTGTTGTTTTTTCCCATAGGGTGCATGCATTTGCTGGAGAGAAGAGAGACAGTGAGAGGGGAAGTAAGAATCACCTCCTCGGGGGGATGGTCACACTGCAATCCCTTCTCCATTCTCTTCCTGGGATTTTGGGCATACATGCACACATGCCCAGCATGAGTTTCAAGTTGCTGGATCTGGGACTTGAATCTGTGATCAGTCATGTGGGAGTCCAGTGCCCTAACCACTATGTCATCTGCTGGCCCGGTTATGTGTATTTTTAGCATAATACAAAATGGAAGGACAGAAGCCTACTTGTCCATGTACATATTTCCTCAAATACCCATTTACCCATGCACCCACCCAGCCTAATTCTGAAATAGGTGGCATCAGCCGCAGCCTGGCGAGCAGGGGTCCAGCAGGGTAGCTCACTCTCCCCCAGCCCGGAAGTTGCAATCCCTCCGCCTCCCAGCCGCAGTTTACCAGCTGAGCAGAGGAACACAGGTAACACCGGCTTGCATTGCTGAAGAACACAGTGATGAGTTTCCAGTCATATAGAAAATCAAGTTGCTGAAGAAGAGGGCAGCAGCATGGGGGAAAAAATAATAATGGTAAGACCTTGAACCGAAAGACTTTGTTCTTTTCATGTCTTTTAATTTCATACGCCCACCCTTTTAAAATCATACTTACGGATTTTTCCCCCAAAAGGAGCATATGGTAGGAATGGTATAATTCCTCTAGAAGGCAATTTGGCAAAATACATAAAACGTCTTTTTTTGTTTCCTGAAGGGCATACCTTTTGATCCAATTATTTCATTTCCCAACTTGTATTTTTTGTCAAAATTTTATTTTTTGCCATAGGACACATGTGCTCCTCAGAGAGAGAGAGAAAGAGGAAAAGCGAGAAATCACACTCCCCCTTTGGGGGGCGGGGGGATGATCACGCCACCATCCCTTTTCCTGTAGTCTTCTCTCAGGATTTTGGGCATGCGAACACACTCACCTGGCATAATTTCTTTTCCCCCAGAGGACAAGGAGAGTGTATTTTCTAGTCCCAGCTGGGCTTGGAGGGGATAGGAAAGGGGAGGGCTCAGGAGGATCTGGGTGGCAGCCCCATGCCCTGCAATCCAGGAACCACAGAAGAGGGGCTCAGAGATGGGGACTGGGACACCTTCCCCACATCCCCCCCAGGATGCAATATGCACACACGTGTGCACCAGAGTGTGTGGCCGTCCCAAGCTGTGCCAGGTGGCCAGTCTGGCATCTTCTCCCAGGTCCCACCAAGACGAGTACCTGGCAGATGGCATTACTATTGGGTGACTTCCAGACCAGGGGAGTGATTGTCAGCAGGCTGGCTCAGAGGCCTCCCTCTGTCTGCAGAGGCACTGCTGCCGGCACGCCCACTGACATGATTTTTATACACTAGGCCTGGGATTCAGATTGTGCCGCCAGCTATGTGGGAGTCCAGCACCTTAACCTCCACACCACCTGCTGGCTGTCCAATATGTATTTCAAGAAAGCAAGGGTATAGGAAAGATTTAGCTACAATGATGAAACCTTCTCCCTAAGGATAAAATTGAAAACAATACTAATGGGGCCAGCCAGATGGTGCAGTGGTTAAGGTAACTGGATCCCATGTGGTCAAGTTTATAGTTCAAGTCCTAGACCCAGTGACTTGAAAAACATGCCATAGGCATGAGTGTGAGCACCCAAAATCCTGAGAGGAGAGTGGAGAAGGGATTGTGGCATGGCCATCCTTCTGGGGGAATGATATCTTACCCCCTGCTTCTGGTAAGTGCACGTGACCTATTGCAAAAAAAAGAAAAAGAAAAGAGTGTGTGTGTGTGTGTGTGTTTGTCTGTGTGTATGTGTGTGTGTGTGTGTGTGTATGTATGTGTGTGTATATATATATGTCTAAAACAAGCTATTGCTTTATAAATGGTGGAATAATCACAGGCTATGTATACCATTGTGTAGCTATTACAAATAATGTTGGAAATATAATTATTGCCATGGGAAATATATTGAAAAAAAGCCCGTTATAAAAGATTTACATCCAGTAACATCCTTGTTTTATAAATGCTATACAGATAGATGTGCTTAGAAAAAATTTGGAAGGGAATATACACCAAGTTTTTGACAGTAATTATCTTTAGTTATTAGGTTTAAATTTTTGTTTATCTGTATTTTCTGATTTTTCCATAATGAATATGTGTTAGTTGCATTAACAAAAATAAATTCTTTTTTTAAAGGAAGCATTGAGGAATTTTAGACTATAAATTAAGCAATTAAGATTTTAGCTTTAACTAGCTGTGTAACTTGGATAGATTACCTGATTTCTTAGAACTTCAGTTTCCTCATCTGGAAAATTACAGATTATATAAGGACTTCCTAGCTATTTTACAGAATCATCATATTATCATTCCAGAAATTCTGAATTCTTCTGTTAAGAGGAAATTGACTCTCCATGGCACAGTTCCTGCGTTGGTCATGGTCCCTGCGTGACGTGGCCTGACCCCTGCTTGAATTCCAGAGCTTAATGCATGCAGGCCTGGCTGGGGCAGCAGCTCCTCTTGGTTCCAGTGGTCCAGGCCCAGTGCTTAGTTAGAACCATTAAAGCTTGTCTCAATTTGATACTTGTCCATAAGGACAGCATAAAAGACCTGAGGATGCTTATTACAGACGTGTGAGTTTCTAAGAAAAGAACATCTGAGCTATTGGTCTAGTCCCATGGCCTAGTGGTGAAGGGAGCTGGATCCCATATGGCCAACATCACAGTTTGAATCCTGGACTGGGTGGCTTGGAAAACACTCCACATGTCCGTGCATGCATACCCCAAATCCCAAGAGGATGGAGACATCAAAGAGAAGGGAATGTGGTGTAGTCACACCTCCTTGAAACTGTTTTCTCCTTCTCATGCTCTCTCTGTCTTCCACTGGCAAGCACATAAGTCCTCTGACAAAATAAGGGAAAAAGAACATCAAAAGTATTGGGAGAGAGAACCAGCAGTTAGCGTAATGGCTATGTCGCTGGACTCCCATGTAGTCCACTGCGGTTCACGTCCCGGACCCGGTGGCTTAAAACTCATGCCGGGCACGTGTGCGTGCGTGCCCAAGATCCCGAGAGGAGAACGGAGGAGAAGGGACTGCGGCGTGACCATCTCCCTTGGGGGGGTGATTTCTCGCTTTCTGTCTCTGTGTCTCTCTCTGTCTGTCTGGCGAGCGCATGTGTCCTACAGTAAAAAACCTCTCAAAAAAAAAAAAAGTATTGGAAGAGTAGGTAACAAGGCACCTACAATGTACGTTACTGAAGCCTCCACCCGGAGACTAAAATTAGCATAGTGATTATTAATAACAGCAATCACTGCTACAATGACAGCTACAGACGTTCATTGATTATTGCTTCTGCCCCAGACACATCCAATACCAAATTTTAACCTCCCCAAACTGTGCGGCAGGCCTTTTTATCACTCCCATTTCACGAATAGGAAAACGGAGGCTTAAGAAGTTGTGGTGCCTTACCCAACACCACACAACAGGTAGGTGAGGGGTTCAGAATTTATTCTCAAACTATGTTACCAATGGAACCCATGCTCACACCTCCCTCTGTGAGAAGTCATTTAGTCCATTGCTGGATTTCAGCAGGGCCACAGAGAAAACCACTCTAAACACAAGCATTGGTCCTTTTATGTATATATTTTTAAAAAGACTTCTAGAGTCACCCTGGGGCGGGGGGGGGGCTACATTCTGAAGCTCTCAGGCCACACGAGTTGCTCAGTTCACAGTAAGAAGGCATTGGGGCCGCCACGCGCCACAGCTCTGGTCTGAGTGTCTGGTAGTAAATGCCCACCTCCCAGTCTGCCTTTCCTTTTCTCCCCTCTACGCTTACACGGATTCTCACCGGGTTCTCTTTCATGCGTCTCACCAGTTCTTTAGCCTGAAGCCACAAGTTTCTGTGCAGAGGGAGGAAAACACAGAGAAAAATACTATTTTGTTGCAGGCTGGAAACTTGGCCCTCACCCCAGCCCAGGGTGAACCTCTGAAGGCATCCCTGACTTCTGAAGGGTAGACATTGACCTGATTTTTGAAAAGTTAGACTATGAGGCAGACTACAAATCGGCATGGAGAAGTATTTTGGTTTTGATCTAACAAAGCCCTTCGTTGTAATCCTCTCTGACTAGCAAGCTTGCCAAATCCATCCACCCACGTGCCCA